TTGATTGCTTGATTGTAGCAGTCACGAGATTCACGCTATGATCCCCTCACTTCCCCACACCCTGACGGAGTAGAGAACTTCATCTTCTGATGGCATATAGAAGTAACGGCTTTGAAGTTTTGTAGTTGTGGTTGTCTAATGATGCCATTGAATGCAGAGGGATAGTCCACTACCAGGAATTCTGTCATCTTGGTCACTTCGTGGAGATCGCCCCAAGTGACTGGAAGAGTTGTCATTCCTCGAAGAGTTAGATGGTCCACGGTAAAATCATAGAGAAGAGTGGCTATAGGCTTAAGGTCTGTATCTTCCAACTTTATCTCCTCAAGGGCTTTCTGAAATAGGATATTCATGGCGCTCCCATTGTCCATCAACATTCTGTGGACTTCGCACCTTCCTAGATTAGTAGCGATGACCAATGCATCAACATGAGGGTGATTATGCACTCGTCTCGCATCTCTTTCAAAAAAGGTTATTTCTTCTTCTCTACGCTGTTTATGAGGTCGATGTTCCAGATTGAGAACATTATAAGGCTCATATCAGGCTTCTCGGGCATACAGATCTTGTGCATGCCGAGAGGTCCCTATAATATGAGGTCCCTCAATGATGGTCCCAACTAAGTAAAGACCCTTGCAACTTTTGCATCTTTTCCCGTCGTCATAATCTTTTTCCCTCAAAGGAATTGGACCACCAACATACTTCTTGGAATGACCGTTCTAGATGAGATCTTCAATTGCTTGCTTGAGAGCTCGACACTCATCGGTATGATGTCCAATGTCCCTATGGAAGTGACAATATTTCTTATCGCTTCTCTTTGACTGGGGTGCCTCAATGGGCTCCGAATCTACGAGTAGGTTGGCTTCTTTTGAAACAGCCAAAATGTTCAAGATCGATGTGTTTAATGTAGTAAAGTTGTCGCAACGAGGTAGCGGGGCATAAGCCTTCTTGGGCTTAAAACATTGTTTATTTCCCTTCCTCTGATCGTCATTTGCCCATTTGCGACCATTCCTTCTACTCTCCCCGAAATTCATCCCTTCGACTGGGAGCGTTGGTCGTAGGCCTGGGGTCATGGAGATTTAGAGTTGCCACAGAGTTTTCAATTCGTAGATATTTTTTTTTGTAAGATTGTAGAAGCGAGTAAAAGAAACATTGTCTTCCAATTGTAGTTTCCACAAGTCGATTTGCAGGCGAGCTCCAGCTATAATCAGAGTTCGAACTGAATCTTCGAGTGTGTTGGCCACCTTATTCAGTTCCTTGCGGAACCTGTCAATGTAAGATTTGAGAGACTCATTCTTCTCTTGTTATATATTGCTCAAATAGTTGAACGACATTGAGAATTTCTGATTTACTTGGAAGTGTTTTAGGAATAATGAGCTCATCTACTATCATGTGTTGATAGACCCTGGTGGAAGCGATCTGAACCAACGTTTTGCATGGGTAGTCAGGGTCATTGCTAAACAACGATATTTTGCCAAGTTTGAGATTGGTGCAACTCTATGAGGTCGTTAAACTCATAGAGGTGATCCTGAGGATCACCATTGCCGTCAAATGCCTTTATATCTGGCCTTCTGAATCTTGGCGGAGAGGTTTGTCATGACCTTTAGAGAAAAGGGAGACGCCTTAGCGATCACTCTCTGCTCATTTTGTTGAGCTCGAAGCTGATCTAAAGTTCGCTCTAAATCCTCAATCTAAGGAAGTGGAGCCTTTGGGGGATCACTTTCCGCAACATAGGTGCATGCCCTATGTTGCGGTTGATGAAAGACCGCAGGTAGGTACTTTCTATGCTTTGGTTGGAGCCTTCAGCTTGCCTTGACACTTGAGGTTGAAGCCCTATGAAGGCGCTAAGTGGTTGGGGGAGTTTTCCTTATCTCTGTGATGGTCGGAACCATCATGTCGATGATGGTGGGAACCTCCCTGCTTGGCACTTTCATGAGCGTACTCGTGCAATGTGCCATGGGACTACTCTTGAGTAAAGTACTGCCAAGCCGCTGAACAGGAGTTTGTTTCTCTATTCGTGGGCAGTATTCAAATGCCCTTTTGAGTCTTTTTGCCCTTGATAGGCTATGCGTTTACCTTTTTGCACTGTAGTGCACATGGTACGAGGATGTGCTCGTTTCCACGCTTTTGCGCAACCTATAGGCATCTTTGGGGGTGGTACCACCTTGTTTGAATTGGGTGGTACTACTTTGTCCAAATGATCTAGTCACTGGTTCATCGTTTGGAGAGTGTTGTTGAACTTTTTCAAGTAACAAATTAAGGTAGTATCCGTCTGGGAGTCGAGAGCATGCTCCCTGCATTGTTTTTAGGGAGTTAGAGCTCCTTCGAGAGGAGTTGTTTCCTGATTGTGGGGAATCTCCTCGTTGTTGCCAATGCTAGGACGCTCAGTTTTGAAGCCATGAGCCATGAGAATTTTTGGTTTATCTTTGGAAGAGAAACTGACAGGTCAATTGAGTTTCCTAGATAAAGAGCTGATGTGAATATAGGCCCTCCTTCTAGCATCGAACTATTGATGCTTGATTTTGACACCAACAACTTCGCACATGTAAAAGGCTATGAAGTCACACGTGAGATGATTATAGTAAGTGGGTGAGGTACTATAGGCACAGTAGCATGCAAAGACGTAAATATAAAGCTGACAAAAGAATTTTTACAGTGATTCAGATGCTTAAAGAAAATCCTACATCCATTGTGTTTTTTATATCAATTTGTTCCTGTTCATTAGATAGGCTTACAAGAGGTCGTGAACTACGATCTGGTATTATAAGTGTCTCGTGTTCTACGTGTCTGATCTCGATTTTGTGAGGAGGAGCTGCCTATTTATACATGTTTTGCTCAAGATAATGATTACACTTTTGCAAGTGGCTTAATGTCGTGAAGATCTCACATGCCTTCCCATTCTTTAAGAACTCAAAGAATATCCTCAAATTAAATGAGGCTTGGACATGTATGCGAACCAAATTCATCCAGGGACAAATTCTTGAGTCAGTTGGGTTATTGACAACTATATTCTTTTTGCCTTTGGAGACGGCATAATGCTTTTTTGAATTCTGATTGGTGCTTGATGACATCAGCATAGGTCAACCTTATTTTAGGCATAACAGAATCTATCACCTACATAGATATAATTTGTTAGATTTTAATTTGAATGGCTCTCGAATCTACCGCCTAAGCAAATTGAACTAGGAATGTGTTCCTGAATTCTGCTCAAGCTAAGAACCTTAAGACTAACCTTATTAAAAACTATGACAAATCCTATTTTTGCAAGACTAAATAAACTAAACTTTTAATAAAACTAAATAAACTTAGTTTAATTTCCAACAAACTCATTTCTTAAAACAATTAATTCACCTGAAATTTGAGAAACATAAGTTATGTTCGAATAAAATAAACAATCAATACTATTTATTTGCAATGAAAATACGAAAAAAAAAAATTTTCAATTTTTATATCTTAGCTCAAATAGTAATTGAATCTTATTAACATATGAATGATGGGATAATGTGATAATTTAGACATCAATGTATTAAAAAATTTTATCTTTAGGCTAACACAAATTAAGGTGAGAATATATAGAAAATTATGAAAGATAATTTTTTTTTTTGGTAGATACCCATTACCCCCTTACCTGCCTCATTTCTAATAAGGGATATGACATTAGGGTACATTTTCTTCAGAAATTTTTAATTAAAGGACAAATGTTACAAATCCTTCAATTAAGGGACAATAAAAAATATATATAATTAAATTTGGCTTTATATAAGGGCAAAACAGTAATAGTATACATTTAAAATATTTCTTCTTCAAAATAAATTAAAATTACTAAAAAGTTAAAAAAAAAAAATTACAATATAGTAAAAGAAATCAAAACTTAAATATAAAAATTTTGGGAAGAAAAAAAAAGGCCGGAAAAAGCTTTCTTTCTTGAAGTTTTTTCGTTTCAATTTTTTATTTTTTTTTTTTTATTTACTCAAAAAAATGTTGGTCAGTGTTTAGTTTTTAAAAAATTTTAATCTAAGAACTAAATTTAGTTAGAAAAAAATAAAGGAAAAAAAAGTTAAGGGCATCTAAGTCTTTCTATCATTTTTCGTTAAAGTTAATGATAAATCACCAGTTGTTAAATGTCCCTTAACTAATGGATTTATAGCTTTTGTCTTCCTATCCAAAAATTCTAAAAAGTTTATACCATAAATGATAATATCCATTTCTAATTATAAAGAAAGTTTAATGGTAATTATACAGCTCTTTTTCTGGAACAAATTCATATTCAAAGAAATTAATTGAACGGTTTGGTCATTGTTGCGCCTTACAATAATACCAAACTTGGAACTAAAATTCAATTTACCACAAAAAAACTAGAAAATCCTCTACTTCTTTGAATTGATTCGAAAATCTATAAGGTAAAACTTGTATAAAGTAATACCGTCAAAAAAATAAACTATTTATTAAGTCCTATATTATGCCAGAACATATGTGTTCATAGCTGATCAACTTTGTCAACAACCCAAGTTTAAGATAACAGGTTGAGCTAGCGTTTCTAGGCTAACTTGCAACCAACCTTTTCCGATATTGCTAGTTCACCAAACTCCTGGACCTTCAGTTCACCTAGAAGAGTTTTATCTATTTGGTTATGCTGAACCAATGCATGAGATCAAACATGCGTCGATGAACCATCAGATTGATTTCCCAAACAATCCAAAATCACAACTATGTGGGCTGTATGGTATTTTTCTGAGTCAAAGGTTAGTTGAATTACCCAAATCATAACCAGGAACTTTTGTGGATTGCTTAAGAGTTTGGGTTTTCTGGGAATCCCCAACTTTAAGTTAAACTTGCAGGTACACCTATTAGGGAGATAAACTAACCAATGTTTCTCCATACTTTCCCCAACCACAACTCATCAAACTTTGATTCTAACTAAATGATCAACCATAGTTCCAACATTTTTCCATCTATATAACCCTATTTGAAATGAGTAACTCTTCAAGAAAACACATACTAGAATTTGCCCATTGTTTACAGATTCCAGCTAGAGTCTTGTACCTTCTGCTATCTTCCAAAAATGGCATTTTCTAAAGATTTTCTGGCTCTTTGTTTGTTGATAGCACTATCAATCTCCAGCATTGACATGAGCCTGGCAGCTCGCCATCTTTTGGACACACCGGCAGCTCCACCTCCAGCATTAACACTGCCTACAATTCCACCTCTGCCGAAGGCCACATTGCCTCCATTGCCCTCAGTGCCAACTTTGCCTAAGGCCACATTACCGCCATTGCCCTCGACTCCATTGCCAACACTGCCGACGCAACCAACTCTTCCAAAGCCCACGCTGCCACCTTTGCCAAGCACCCAAATCCCATCTTTGCCACAACCTACATTGCCCACCATCCCCGCAACCCCTAAGGTTACACTGCCGCCATTGCCATCTACTCCTCTGCCCACAATCCCCACCATCCCAACAACAATACCAACCATTCCATTCCCCTCCCCACCCCCATCTAAATGAGCTAATAGCCCTTGAAATGCCACGGTTACCGGTTATTACCACCAGTTAGAATGTTTCTTGGATGTGTTTCAAGTCAGATATCGTGGGACCTGCCGTGGCACAAGTGCTTTTCTGCTGGACTTGAGTTAGTCCATATATATTTGTTTTAGTCCATATATATTATTTGTTGTTTTGTGGATCATTGATTTCATTCTCATCCAGAGAATCTTAATGTATCTCTTTCTATTCATTATTTATAGTAATGTATGGAGTATATTTTATTATGTATTAGTCTTACTCTTCTTGATACAGATGTTATAGTTCTCAAAACAAGCTCTTTTAAGGATATGGCCATGATTATATCATGGATATAAATATTATTTTAATTTATGCTACATCTTCAAAATGTTTAAGGATGAACAAAAGTAGAAAAGCAGCACATAAGGCTGCAAGGAACCAGCAAATATCAAATGACCTGCAGGCAAAAAGGCACTAACTCTAGTCCCAAACCAAACAGGCAAAAGCCAATCACTACAAAGATTTCATTTAATTTATAAAATTGTCTTCAAATTCCAGATTCTCCATTGAAAGAACTAGTTACAAGAAAATGAACACAACACATATGCAATTAACGTTGGTAAAGTTGCTATTTCTGAACAAGAAAGTGAATATAACTGTATTTAGAAGTGAAAATATATTGGAGAACTGCTTATCTTCAATTCCAACTTGAAGCATTTCTGTTCTAAGAGGAAAAATACTAATAAACACTATAAACTTAGAAGTTTTGCATCAATGGACGAAGCTGGCAGCCAAAATCCTTGAATAAGAAACTAGTAACATTGGCATTAAACTGAACATTCTGTTACAAAGACATAAATTCAGGTGATAACGTCATCCTTATCTAAAGTTCTTATCTTTCTCAATGGTCTACAAGGATCCAGTATTATTACACTTTGCTATGGAACTTCCATTTTTTAAATTTTATGTACAACAATAAGATATCAGGTCAACAATCGCCTTTTAAGAATTTATTAGTATAACCCGGCTATTAATTTTACAGGAAATAGCCCCAAAACAACTTATTAGCAAATTCAACCCCACTTGCAACAAATTTTTTTCTCTGAAGCAGGGAAGGAGATGTGCATACCCCTCCTGCACCAGTTCCCTTCATGAAGTTATCAGAAGTGTTGGCAGTCTTTTTACTCGAGTATGACTGGTAAAGTCGGTCTCAGTGTTTATAGAAAACTATATCTCGGCTACAATTGGCTTTGATCGCATCTTCCAAATTCTCAACCCGATCAAAATCAACTTTGAAAGTAACCATGGTGACTCCATCTTTACCAGCATGATCCTGCTTGATGTCCTCAACTTGAAACGATTGCAGCTGTGAAAATCAAAATGAGAGTTAAGTTAATTTGAAATTACCATATGGAAGACATTTCTAGAGCTAGAAAAGACAACAAAAAGCAACAATGAAGATGTAGCACATAAGAATGCCATATTTGTTGGAGACAACTTAGGCAATAAGCATTCTATATCCCATGAAGGTTGGACAACATCTTAAGTTTTGCGGTACTTATGGTCAATTCAGAGAAAAACTTAGCAAGAGCACAAAACAGGATACAGAATATGAAAAAGAAAATCAAATTATGCTGTTAAGATTGCAACATGACAGGCTTAAAACTTATAGACCTCCACAATGATAAAGCATGACTATCTAACAGTGATAGCAGAAACTGGAAAATCCTATTTAAACGCCCAGACTGTGGCATGGAAAATTCAAATCACAGTCAAGAGGAATGAGCTGCTTTTGGCTTCAAGTGTAGATCGAATTGACTTAATTCTATTGTCCACTTAAGTAATTTACCCGAAGCCTCTGGCTTTTGAAGGACCTGTCTGAGTAGGTGATTAGTTAAGACATGGATGGTGTGGGCAAGGAAGTTAGGTCGTAGCTTTCTTGAGATGATTACCAAGGCAAAGGCTAATCGCTTCTTTTCTGAATATCCAATGTCTAGCAACCGTTTGTTGATGTAATACATAGGCTATTGAATTTTTTTTTTTTTCTTCCTGAATAAGAGCTACACTTACTGCATGCTGAGAGATAGACATATAGAGAAACAGGATTTCTTTGGGAAGTGGCTTGGACAAATGAGGTGGCTTTCCAAGCCGCTCCTTTATGCTTTGGAAAGCTTGCTCACATTCTAGAGTCCATTCAAATTTCTTATTAGCTCTAAGTACATTAAAGAATGGCAAACAATGATTTGTATCTCTCAATATGAAACGACTAAGAGCCGCTATCCTTCCATTCAAGCTTTGACCTTGTCTGGGTTTTGTAGGACTACTCATGTCTAAGAGAGCTTGGATTTTTTTGGGGTTGATTTCAATTCCCTGATGGTTAACCATGTACCCTAAGAATTTACCCGAGGCTACCCCGAATGAACACTTAAGTGGATTAAGTTTCATTTTGTATTTTCGGAGTATATTGAACATTTCTGAAAGGTGAGCTATGTGATCTGAAGAAACATGAGACTTGACTAGCATGTCATCGACATAGACCTCCATTGTTTTCCCCATCTGCTCAGAAAACATTTGGTCAACCAGGCGCTTGTAAGTTGCTCCATCATTTTTTAGGTCAAAGGGTATGACTTTGTAATAGTATAGCCCTAGATCTGTGATGAACGAGGTATGGTCCACATTAGGTGTGAACGTCGGGATCTGGTTATATCCCGAATATGCATCCATGAAGCTTAACAACTCATGTCCCAAAGTGGCATCAACAAGCCGATCGATTCTGGGCAAGGGGAAATGACAGGATATTCGCAAGTATACGAAATCGCGCAAGTAGTAAAGCTCGAGTAAACGAGTGTCGAATCCTAAGAGAACTACCTATCAAGTACCAAACTAATCTATTTTGTTGTTATTTGATGACACAGAATTTTAAGAATGAATTTAATGAAAAAGAAAACAAACTAAAAACTAAACAAAAGCAGAATTTTATTAATACTTTAGTAAATAGATCAATATGACTAAACCTAGGGCATAGATTTCACACCAATTTAATCCTATGCATTGACAATTATTGCTAACCTAATTAAGCTTACTCTAAAGGCCAAACTCCCTAATATTCCACTTTCTCTCGAACAATTAGCGAATTAACCCTTAAGCAACAACCCAAAATATCTCTAAGTTAGATTTAGGAGCTAAGAGATTATTAAATTCTATGGAATTTACCATAGCCTCATAGATCACAGTAACCTATCTCTAGCGTTCGCTCAATCTATGATTTTATTACCTTAGAAAAATAAGGTTTTATCTCTCGATCTCAACCCAACCCAAGATATCATTCAACTCTCGGATCCTTAAGAATTGAAAGCATTACACACAATAATAAAACTTAGAATTAATGCTCAATAAGAATTAACAACAATAAAGTCAACACATATTCATAAATTGGGCTACATCTTTAGCCCTAGAAAAGGGATTTAGTTCATAATTGCAATAATAAAAACCATCATTGTATTCAATAACATGAGTTCAAGAAAGAAAAATATACTTCTCTAATTGGCGAACGAGAACTGCAAGAATTCTGATCTCAAAAATAGTAGCCGTCATTTCTCCTTCTCTAATCCCCTAAAAACTACTTAAAGACCCTTATTTATAGTGCTAAGGTTTGGAGGTTACTTAGGAAAGAATTAAATACCTTAACCCATTGAGATTCGGAGTAGGAGAATGCAATAACCCAAACAGGCCCATGACCCATCGTTGCGACGATAAGAAACAATCGCTGCGACGATCGTTCTTTCTGTCCCACGAGTCTGTGATATTTAGAATTTGGTAAAGTCATCGACATGAACTTTCTAGCTCTTTGAATAATCTTTCTAACGCCACAAGAATCGTTGAATTCTGATTTCTACAGCTCAAGTTATGATCGAAAAATCGAAGCATGCTCATCTTGAAGGATTTCCAGATTTTACGTTATATCTTCGACGCATCACAACTTTCTCGTTTCAACTCCAATTCTTGCACCGTTTATTCTTACTTGTCACAAATTCCATTGACATCATTTTTTTTCCTTCAAATATCGGTTTGAACCTAAAAATACTCAAAATACACCCGTGATCCCGTAAAAGGTATTTATAAAATAATTAATTCAAATTCCACAAATTAAACACATTTTTCCACAAATAATCCAATTAAATCACTAACAAAATATATACTTTCAAGCTCTTATCAACAAACTATCCTCGAGGCAAGCCTTATTGAGATCCATAAAATCAATGCCAGTTTGCCATTTACCACTGTGTTGTTTTTACCAAAACAGGATTGGCAACTCAACTGGGGTAATGAGCTTCTCGAATGAACCGAATTGAGAGAAGTTTATTGATGAAAAATTTTATAACCTCACAAGTGCACGAATCGCTCTCGTAGTCTAGTGTGCAAAAGCAAAGGTCGATCCTGTAGAGATTTGTAAGTAATTTATAAATCCTAATAACTATGCTTCAATTAAAATTATTAATAAGACTTAATAATGAAGAATTAGGAAAGATCAATTTAAAAGTAACAACTAAATAGAACTAAAATTAATCAAGTATTAAAATTATCTAAAGCCCAATTGACCAAAACCTAGGGCTCATATTTCACCATAATTATCCAGCTCTATATCAAACATCTCTCTATTGTTTATCAATTCAGTCTCTAGGGTTCGTATTCACTGTATCAAGGTATTACCGTAAGGCGTTCGGGATTAACCTAACATTTTTAACACAAGACTAGCTAGGGCATATGGTTTAGCCTATGAATTAAAAACTCATTAAACACAAGAATACTCAAAATCAAGACCAAAGGCGCATCTATTAGGGCGTATGCACAAACATTAATTATTCAAGAATTCATGAACCTACTAATACTCTATCAAGGCGTATGCACAAAGTACTAATCATTCATTCACATGAGTCCTTCAAGACTAAAACATAGTATATGTCTAATCTCAACACATACAACCTAATAATTCACACTAAGTGTCGTCACACAATAATGAAAATTAAAGATTAAATTAATAACCTAATAAATCAAGATTTCCAATTGAATTGATAGACATAACATATGTTTAACAAAGAGCCTTCCAATTAGGCTACATTGGATCCCTAGATAAGAATTTAGTTACGCATTGA